TAATATCTTCTACAGCTGGTTATAAGGACAATCAAACTGATACTGGTGGAGTTTTTTCAGTTGCTCAAGGAATTTCCCATTCATATCCAGAAGATCAAACCCTTCTGAGTGGCGGTACTTGCTTGGGTCTTTTCAATGGTCATGATGATGAATTTGGGATGTCCTCATGGTCGTTACCTCCTGGAACTCAAGAAGGCGGAGGGTTTCAACTATTTAGTTCAGATACAGATGTCTCTGATGCCTTAGTTGATTTGCAGCGTGGTTCCATCAATTGTTACACATCAATGAATGGCTACCTATTCGCTCCAGAAAACTCAATGGTGTCTGCAACTCTTGTTCCAGGTTCTCCTGTTGTTGGTCAGGGTGATCAAGAAATAAATCGGGCAAGAAATTTCACCATGGCAAAGAGTGTGACGATTTTGCTGCTAGCGCTGGTTTTGCACTATGGGGTATCCATGGCAATGGGCTTATATAGAAGGAGGGGAGAGTACTAGGGGAGGGAGGGAAGAAAGGGAAGAAGAAGAGTCGTTGTTTCTGTGAGCTAATTCCACTCTAACAAGTGTACTAGTCCGTTTAAGTAATGATGAAAATATAATATCGTTCCACAAAGACCGTAGACTAATTAAGTATCAAAATTAATGAATTTTAATTTTATTTGAACAATTGAAATTAAATGATTTGAATAAATTAAATAACAAAACTAGTTAAAGAAAAACTAAATTAACTTTGAGTAACATCAAGAATTAAAAGTCACCATCATCAACTAATATAGAATTTAAATTAATATATTTTCAAGATATTTATTATTCATGTGACAGTGGAATTTCTTATTTTATTGCATATACTTTCTCAAGTTATACCAAACTTATCTTCACCTATTAACCCACTATATCTCTATGTGAATTTAAATAGATAAAGATGTATTATGTTCTATGAAATTCCTTAGTTTACACAAAAAATTAAATTCACTTATCACTAGTGCTACACAAATAAAAGTCATTACATAAAATCTCCTCTCGGTCTCAATTCATACTAAACATAATAAAATTTGAGATTAAATTGAAAAACCACAATTCTATATCCAAACAAAGGAAAACAAGGAAAAAACAAGTTTAGAAGAGCAAAAACCCAATTTGTGAAACTCAGATCTGTAGCCCTTTACTATCGCGCTTGTCCCCTTTGTTTTCGGTTGAGGTGTCCCAGTGACTGCCTTTGCGTCTGCCGTCACTCACACAGAATCTGCACAAGCTCCACTTCAAACTCGCCTCCAAGCTTTCTGCCGGCTGCCTCCCTGATTTTCTCCCCGAAGTCCTCAGCGGCTGCCCCTTTTTATATTCAACAATGTGCTCTGCTTTTGAAAACTCCGTGTGCCCTTTCATTTTAAAGCCCATCTTTATCTCCATAAAGCCCACAATGTTGTGCCACGTGTATGCAGACCAAAAATTAAATTCTGGTCTTTAAATGGGAAATCATGAAATCAGATTTGATGTTTTTAACTTTTGTCATTTCAGCCCATTTACTCTCAATTTCTTTAGTTTTACCCTCTACCTACAAAGAATGATAAAAGTAATGTAAAACCAAATAAAATTGTTCCAATAAAATATAAAAGACTACAATTCATGACTAAAAAACCATGTATAATTGTATGAAATTTAGACTCATCAGGCTACAAGCAAGTGGTGAAGACTGATGCAGGGGAAGTGCGGGTGGCTAGGAGAGTTGCAGGGCCCATGCACCTTGGGTTCATTATTATGGAGCCCCAGTCTCTTTTCATTCCCCAGTATCTTGACTCCAGTTTGATGCTCTTCGTCCACAGAGGTACCACAGTTCATTTCTTCTATGTAGACTGGAGCAATTGATTGGCCTGCTATGAAAATTTCTAATGGGTTTTGATTTCAAACTTGATGCAGGGGAGGTCAGAATTGGACTTGTCTACGAAGATGAAGCGGTAGAACGGTGGCTGAAGATGGGGGATTTGTAC